ACGGTTAATTACGGTGTTTGTCCCATTAACAGTAAGTGGGTTTAATTACCATTCATCTTCACTTAAGGTAAATTTTTAAAGCTTGGTAAAATGTTGCTTCATATATAATATATTAATTCAGGATATTTGAGTGTGAGTTATTTGACAATCTACGAAGACACTGATGGAAGTCAGGTGAAAAGCCTGAATCTGAAATATAACATTGTGCCAAACCTGGGCTCAGAAGGAAAACTTGTATACAAGCCCAGCTTTCTTTTCCTGCAAAGCACAAGGAACTCATATGTATTTTCACCAGCATGTATTTTGATAAAGTTGTACGTTGCTAATGCTGAAATCCCCAATTGCAGAGATAAAGACTTGGAATGGTAAAAAAACATACCTGGGCTTGGAAGCCAAATGAAATTGGGTCTGATTTTGAGAGTTTTTAGCACCTTTGCAATTGTGGCAAGTTATTGGTACTAATTACAATAGGAACATATTTTTCCAGCATTGAAAGTTATTAGATATATTTGGGTCTAATTGGGCAGAAAATTTAAATCTGATTTTCCCTCTCATGAGAATTGACACTTTGGAGCAATTCTTTGTTAAAAATGATTGGTAATAGTTTTTTTTTAATGGGAACGCCATGAAATTATTATTCGTAGTTATTAAATAACAATGCAATACCTTTAAAACTTTTGAGATTCTATCAAAGGAATGCAGTTTACCTAAACAAGCTGAATGGCAATAACATACAGTTAAAACACTTAATATATACGCTGTTTGGCCCAGTTCCCTTGTGGCCTCTGAAATTCCAGGGGTGATGATTGTGTTGAGGAAAATCTTTACTGAAATTAAACTGATAATTTATTACCAATTTTTTTAAAAAATCAAAAATGAATTTGGACAATATACCAAAAAAAATTACAATAGAGAATTGGAGTATTTTATATTACCCAAGCAATGGTTTCAGGTTTTTTAAAAGAAGTTTGATATGTTTCTTACAACCTAAAAATTTTCAGCAAAAAAAAAAATCTCTTTACCATCTATTGGACCCATTAAAGAATGTTTAGAAAAGGTTGGCTCTCATCCTTTCTGTGCTGCAGAAACTAATAAATTTGAAGGAACTTGGTATATATGTTAATGGCTGTGTCTGCTTGTAATAGGAATTAGGAAATTGGATGGATATCATTATGGTGAATCAGGTTCTTGGAAGGCAGTTAAGGATGAAAGATGCTAATATTTTGTTCAGCTGTATTCTAACACTCTGGAATTTTTGAATTTGTGTAGAACATTGGGTATATCAAGCTTCAACTGTTGCAAAAAGGGTCAAAGAATTATAGAACTGGAAGGGACCACAAGGATCATTTAGTCCAACCTTCTGCAATGAGCTGGAAAACCATTTAAACCATATATGAGAGGTGGCAATCCAATCTCTTCTTAAAAACCTCTAGACATGGAGAACCCTTCATAGTACTCCATAAGTACTCATGGAAGAATGCTTGTTAAGGATGCTTATTAGGTTGGCTTAATAAAATCTGTCAACTTACAGCCTTTGAGTTAGCTTTGTATTGAAGGAGAAGCAAGACAACATGATTCTGTATAATATAGTTATATTGCTATTTATATACATTACAAGCTAATAACACAGTCATTTAAAAATGTTAATTGTAAAGTTTTTATGTTTAATATATTTGTGTGTGCAACGTCAGGCTCGGGCGACAAGCCAGTTGGTCAATTCCTGTTGCAACCAATGGATCAACATTCATTGTGCGTGTGTGCGTATTTATTTTAAAAAGGACCAGGTCTAGTTAGTAGTCGGGTGGGAGAATATCAAGGAATATCAGCACTATAGGCTACTCTGCAAAGTTGAAAAAACATCCTGAAAGAAGGCAGTGGCTGCATAGTTTTGTCCATGTAGTCATCAGGAATTGAAGTCAGCTTCATCTTTACCAGACTTGGAACATAACTGCTTTTCAGAGTTATATGACAATTCCTAACATCCTCCAGTTTGGGAAACCTGACATAATGCATTATTTTGCTTTTCATTAGGAACTGTCATCATCATCTTTATTACGGTCACAGACTAGAATTACAAATAAAAATACATTGAAACAGATTAAAAATGCATTAAATGAAGTGAACAGAACATTATAATATATTTACAGATTGGTGGGATCATCAGTCAAAATCTGCCTAATTTTGCAGACAGTATAACAAAATTTAGCTACATTCAGGGAAACTCAATCATTCTGATCAGATAGCAACAACTGGATGTAAAAAAGA